CAAATTTTTCCATATAATATTTAACATGGTTGGCAACATTCGATGTGCAATGTACAAGTAGAAATTACTTACTTTGACAGTTAATCAAGACATCAGCTGGTCTAAATAGACTACCCAGTCATTGTGCCATGGCTGTTACCTTCTATTATTATACCATGCTATACACCCTAGTTTAAAGGATTGATAAATACCAATAAAGATATAATGGTGATGTTCGAGCAATGTATAGATCGGACTACATTTAGAACTTACAATCGCGAAATTGTTGGGTTTCCGTACCTTTAGAACCCACACAATCATGTTATGAGGTCATTAAAATTATGTTTTGACCATAACTGTATGTTTGTATCAGCAGGTCGAGGGCCATTAATTGTTTCTTTGTCCCATTGCTTCATATTTTAATTTGAAGGACTGTTGAATAAAAATAAAAAGTTTTTGGTGAAGTGTGGACAAAAGTATTTATAAGATTATACTTAGAAGTTGCAATTATGAAATCGTTTGTAAAGAGATTATAGTGACTCCTCATCCTCATATAATATACCATGCTTCATACCATACACAACTATATTTTGAATGGTGTAAAATAACATAAGTTCCGTTCCAGAACCTAAAAGAATCTACTCATTTTACATCTTTTGCAACTTTTTATTCGAAAACCGTTCCTCAACCCAACTCTGAGCAATTCTGAAATGTTTCCCTTTTACTACATTTACTATTAAAAAAGTACTGGAACAGACTAATAGTTTGACCTTTTCTACTTGAGATGCAAAGGATTTTGTTATAAATTACTGCAACATATGTTTCCTTCATAATAGAAACAAATGCATTAAATGCGTCATAAATCCCAGGTCACAACCCAATACTCGACTATATATTTTGAATCACTATAATGGATAGATTCCAATACATCATGCATTCATGTGTTTAAAATTTTTGTCATGCTGTACCTTCATTGTCAAACATTAAAATTTTTATATCCACCTTACTGTTCGAACCTAGTGGCGCTTTTATACCAATATGTTTGGAATCAAGCATGAATAAGAATAAGATGTCCATCTGACCATGAATTATTATTTGGTTGACATGAAAACAATCACACGATTTCCATATCCACCATCAAATATGGGCTCATATTTTGTATTATTAACATATACAACAACTGGTTTTATCGTTGATAAACGACTTTCAATGTGCTGCCTTGAGATTTTCTCATTGAAAATTTCACTAAGGACAGAGGATAGTAAAAATATAAGAAATTATTATATAGTATTGCAATTTATGTCATTATTTTCAAATATGCCATTTGTCGAACGTAAATGGTTACGGTCTCAAATTAAAAATGAAAATAAAAATGGTTGTCATCATCGATTTAGCAAATGGGACTACCCATGGCACTATGAATAGGTAGTCCATTTAATTGTAATTTCAACTTGTCTTCGATGTGCAGTGTTGCCAATAATTTGAAATATTATATGGAAAATTTTGACAGATAATCGAGACAAAAACAAAGATTTTTGTTTTGATACATCACCTTATTATTGCATCATGGGACTACCAATGGTATACAAGTGGTTGTGTTTATTTGCCATTTTTTAACACACAACTGAAAACACGAAAAATGAATGAAAGATTACGATTTCTTTCCAAAATCCAGTAGGGAATACCATGAAATATTTGTTTCATCCATAACAAAGCAATTACTTCCAGCCGGACGCGTTAAAAACATCATTTTCATTTTAATTAAATTTGAGTATTTTCAATTTATTTCACGTAGTATTCAAAAAATACACACTCATACAGAAAATATGTATTTTGATTTGATGGAACAAGTCACCTTGAGAAAAAATTGTAATCAGTTGATAGCTGTGCCCTACCTTGTAATAATTATACATACCATGGGACTACCTTCAATAACACTGTGCGACACGAAAATTATTCAGGGGTTATAAGAGTAGAATTTTTCCTTTCAAACGAGATATATATTTGGCAAATCGATTGAGGATTGGTTGGGTTGCGGTGGTTGAAATGTGAAAAATACGCATAAAAAGAAAATTAATTTTTCTTCGGCCTGTACGATAAAATTATGATATCAAGCCGTATAAGTTTTATTATATTGCGGGGAAAAAATTAAATAAGCTTTCGAAAATAAGTTAAAATGGATGATAATAATTTGCCTTTGATCCACATTTTAGTACACCCATGCGATAAGCTGTCCCGATCTATATATATATATATATATAAAAATGAATTGGTTCGTTAGTCTCGTTAAACTCGAGAACGGCTATACGGATTTTTCTGATCGCACTACGCCATAGTTGTCATTTTGATATATTTTGGGCGAAAATTGGTAGCGCATCATTCCTTTATGCCTTCATTTGTCAATTATTGAAAATTTTCAATTTTTTTTATTTGTATTTACTTGTTCTCAATTAGATTGACATTATATTGAAACTATTTTATGTGAGAATACAAAAAATGTAATGGACACGCGATCATTGTATGTACAAGTTTTTCATAGAATACACGAACATTTTGGGACAAATGAAAGGATGGATAATCAGAAGACATTTTGAATCGGGTTTGTGTCCATTCATTGAACTTTTATTCTAAGATCCATGCCCCATAGGAACATGCTGTCTCTTAAAGTACCTAATAGTTGGTCAATAGCTTTGAAATTATAAACACAAAACCTCGCATATATCCGATACCAAAATGTGTATCGCAGAGAAAACTGATATAAGAAGACATTTTAAATCGAAATTTATCTATGACTTTCCTTTTATTGCAAAATTCGACTATTAAACTCGAATGAGAACTACAAACTATAAACTAACAATGTAAAAAACATATAGAGCTTTGAAATTTCTCACATATATTGCTATTATTCCCAAGATGTTTGGTACTGAAATAATAGTAATATCTAATGTGAAGGATAACAAGTAAAGCCGTAGACAAGTTCGACCGGGCCAAAATTTAAGCCAGTAGCCGTTTGAAATTTGGGGCACCACTATGTGAGGCTATCCTAAAAAAGTAGACCGAAAGTCACAAACACTAATGGTGATACCGTTATATGGAGATATCTTACACATTGAACCAATATTAATAAGATTTACTATCATATAAAAAATCAAAATACTGAATTATAGCCGAATAGCCAAAAAGACCCCAAAATGCGGAATAATGGGGACTACCGTTAAATTGGAGCTATCATACAATGTGGGAGATTTGTTACTCAATTGGAAACTCAATGTACCAAATTACAGGCAATTCGGTTGAAAACGCGCACTACTACCCAAAAAAGTCGAATATTACACAAAAATACCGTTGTATGTGGGGCTACCCCGAAACATGGGTCAATGTTAAACATTTTTGTAAGAATGTTCGCTATACATTGAAAACCCAAAATACCAATTCGGTTGAAAAACGTGCCAAACATCCCAAAAATATCCCATTTTCATTACCAAACTTCCAATCAAACACCTATCTTAAATATTGAGATCAGTATCGTGATTTCATTATTTTCATATTCTGATTAGTAATGTTATAAACATATACCTTCTGAGGTCTCCTGTGTTGCAAGAGAATAGCAAATTTAATATACCCTTCACATTATGGTGAATGTTATAAAAAGCTTACTTGAAATTGGGCTACCGTTATATGGAAGTCGTATAAACATATTTGGAAATAAACTAAATCCGAATGACGAAAATTTGGCTCTAAATTATATGACTTTATTTTCTATTAATTCAATTATTACAAACATTATATCTATGGAAATTTTAGAAGGGGAAACTTCGTTTTCCCGTTCGACAATTGTACCGCTTATCACCCAAGAACAAAAATCCTAAAATATCCCAGAACATTTTTCAATTACAAATTTTCTATCGCAACAAATAGTAGGTACTCAGCACAGTAATGTTACTTTATGTGATTGTCAGGGAATGTGTTTCACACCCAACCCAAGTTAAACTCGAAAAATTGTTTACACAAGTATGAATAGAAACTGAAAATAAATATGAAACAATATTGGCAAGGCAAAACAACGTTTGCCGGGCCCACTAGTATATATATATATATATAAATGAAAAAAAAAAACACCTTTGATTTAAACATAAACATTATATCCAAATCCTTCAAAAATATACAAATTTTATCACATTAGCAATTTTAACAAGAATCCCATTCCCGTACACCAAAAACTAGTGAAGCTTTCAGTCAGAATTAGTTAAATCTATAACCACCGACGATCGTAAGATACTAGAAAAGCCGACAAATAATATGGTCCATTTTATTCCCTACACGTTCGTCGAGCATCACTGAAAAGTACTGATGTGTTTTTTCACACCCGGAACCCCATACATACCCCATAACTACGGCCGATTACATCTTATAATGAGTATGTAAATGTCGGCTTTCAATTGTGGCCTATAGATCGACTCGAAAAACACGCAAAAAATAAGTTTTCGGTTCACTTCATCCCAATATTATTATCTGATCATCACCAAAAATTATACGCTTTGTCCTTGACCATACCTGGATCCTCATGTGGTAAAAAATAAAGTTTTTGGTCCATTTCACCCCCTAAATATTTACCGATCATTACCAAAAACAAGTCTTGATTGGGCAGAACCCATCCTACATGCAAAATTTCGTGAAGATTGATACATAACTGTGGCCTGTATCGTGTTTACAAATTATAATGGACAGACGGACGGATATACATGTCTAGATCGCCTCAGCTAGTCGAGATATGAGGATCGGTATATTTAAAGGTGGGAATACGGCCAATATTTCGCGGCGTTACAAACTTTTGGGGCTGTACAAAGCTATAATATCCTGACAACATAGTTGTGTAGGGTATAAAAAACTGTTTTTATTGAGTGATTGCATTACTTCCCAAATGAAATGTTTTTTTTTCTGCACAGATTACATTGCGATGGTCTGTTTTCTTCTCAAATTATTTGCTAAGTCATTTCTTGGTATTTCTACAATTCCAGAATTTATTGATGCACAATGAATCGATATATAACATTGACCCAATTGGGTGATGGTACTTACGGCACAGTAGTATTGGGCCAACGGAAGGATACCGGCGAAAAAGTGGCCATTAAGCGCATGAAACGAAAATACTATTCCTGGGAGGAAGCGATGAATTTGCGAGAAGTTAAGGTACGTAGCCGAAGAGTACAATTGATTATCATCTGATTGAAATATTCAAATTGAATTTTACAGTCCCTGAAGAAGTTGTCACACCCGAATATCGTCAAACTAAAAGAAGTGATACGTGAAAATGACACATTGTATTTTGTGTTCGAATATATGAAGGAGAATCTGTACCAGATGATAAAAGATCGTGAAACTCATCTGCCTGAACCGACCCTTAAGAGTATATTGTTTCAGGTATATTATGGACTATGTGTTAAAAACAATTGCCGGCTGCATGCTTAAGTGTTTCCAATGTCAATATGGACTTTCGGCGATATTTTTAAATTTTTAATCAATTATAAACGATATCAACATTGTTTTCAAATTCAGAAGTTAATCGTTGACCAAAAAACAACACTCTTTTGTGTCAACAATCCATGTAATACATTAAATATCTGGAGCATAAATGTTTTTTCCATGATATCGAAAAAATAGTAAAAATTTAGGGATTATTGCAGTGTGGAAACATGGGATTTGTTTATAGGATTTATTATGAAAAAAATCTGAAATTGTCTTTTAAAAATATTACATAATTTGTCTGTTCCAGAACCTGCAAAAATGTACAATTTTTTTCTACGATAACAATTTTCATTTATATATGGACAATTTTTAAAAATTAGTATTCTTATATCAGTATGGGAACAGACCAATGTCTTCTGAATTATACCCTCAAATTCAAAAACCTAAAAAGTAAACATCAAACTTTTTTTTTCGAAACAGCAAAATGTAACACTTAAGCATTTCACCGGGAATATCTAAATCTTTGCTCCACATATGGTTTTTTATTTAGGTTTTAACAGGTTTGGCTTTTATGCATCGGCATGGCTTTTTTCATCGCGATCTCAAGCCCGAAAATTTGCTTTGCTCTGGACCGGAGTTAATAAAAATTGCTGATTTCGGTTTGGCACGAGAAATTCGATCGAGACCACCATTCACCGATTATGTTTCTACCCGATGGTGAGTATATAGATTTGATAATTATTAGGATTGGGAGTAATTGTAAAAATTGAGTTTCAATCGGGGTTTTTTACAAACAATTTCTATATAAATAAGTCAAAATTTTGAAATATACCAAAAAAAAAAAACTTCCGCTAAGTTTTCTGTATTTTTATGGATTTAGCCGAATATTACCACTGAGGTGGCTGTATTTTGACATTCCAGGTTATTGAAGCTTTTATATATTCCCTGTATTAAGTGTTTTTTTTTTTTTGAGGAATTTCCCCCCATTTCTGGTTCTCGCGAAAAAACATTTTCACATAATTTGTCCGATGTGGACCTACATGTTTTGACATATCCGATCCTCGATATTGTCTCACTCATGGTATAATTATTACAAGGTAGGGCACATCTATCAACTGATTACAATTTTTTCTCAATGTGGCTTGTTCCATCAAATCAAAATACATACTTTGTGTATGTGTGATAAAATAAAAATAAATTGAAATATATTCAAATTTAATTAAAATGAAAATTATATTTTTATCGCGCCCGTCTGGAAGTAATTACTTTTTTATGAATGAAACAAATATTTCATGGTATTCCCTACTAGATTTTGGAAAGAAATCATAACCTTTCATTAATTTTTCGCGATTTTAGTTATGTGTTGAAAAAAGTCTGACTAACACAACCACTTGTTGCGTATATTTATTTATTTGACAGAAAAAGCCACCACCTACAGAGTGGGTCTACGATCCGAAACGACCCGAGTATTTTTCGGCCAACGTCCGTCACCTCAGCCCATTGTGTAAAAGCAATAGTGGATTTATTTTGTTATTCAACACAAACTGCCCTACCTTGTATTAATGTACCATGGTCCCAATGAATTTTTCGTACGATTAAATTCCTAGCCCAGCATTCCTAACCAGAGTGTCTGTAATTTTGTTTAGCAGTTAGCTTTCAATGAATTTTTGAATGCAAAACTTTATCAGTGAGTGATTAACAGTGAGGAATTAAGATTCAGTTAGAAAGGTACATCTGGAGAATTTTCTCTATGGTTTATGACGAAATTTATCCAGATTATCGGAATATAAGATCAGGCTAAAAAAGCGATTATAATTACATCCCAGCGTATTGCTCGCCAGCCATACGTTTTAGGCAATATGACAGATCCACAATGACTTAACGCTTTTATTTATTTTTATTATTCCAGGTATAGAGCTCCAGAGGTTTTATTACATTCAACCAATTATGGAAGCTCCATAGATATGTGGGCCATGGGTTGCATCATGGCCGAGCTGTATACATTTCGTCCGTTATTTCCCGGCAGTAGTGAAGTTGACCAACTCTTTAAGATATGTTCTGTTTTAGGAACTCCAGACAAGGTATTAAAAGCTGAGCGCGCTTAAACCGACACTAATAGTTTAATTTAATTTCAGAACGACTGGCCGGATGGATATCGGTTAGCTGCAACTATACACTTTCGGTATCCAGACTGTGTAAGGGTACCATTAAACTCAATTGTTACACGCTGCAGCCAACCAGGATTGGATCTGCTCGAAGATTTGCTTCTCTACGATCCGGATAAAAGGCCTACAGCCCAACAAAGTCTAAAATATCCATATTTCAATGCCCTGAAACGTATATCGCCTGCGGCGGCCACAAAGGCCAATATCAAGTTGAATTCAAAGTATGCCAATAATGCGGGAGTGACACAGCAATTGTCCAGCAATATGCTTCCTGTGCAAGAAAAACTTCAGACCCTAACGGACATGATACATCGTAGCAACAACAACAATAACAACAAAAACGTTACAAACAATAACCTAAATCGGAACGATATAACAGAGGCCAATTTGCTGAATAACTCGAAAAATGGACACATTGTCGTCCAGCAAGCCAAAAACGTCAGCCATGTACAAATACCTAAAATAAGCTTTCTAGCGATGAACACGAATGACCTAATGAACCCCGCCCCTCCATCGATGAGAGTAATGACGAAACAGACAAAGCCAATGGACGAAGGCTCATCGGTGAAAAGTGAAACGATTCGTTACAACACGATTTTGGCACCCTCTAGTAACATTTACCTCAGCAGCGGCAATCTGAATCAGAGCACAGACAATTTGGCCCGCACAGAGTCCATAAACGATATATTCTTAAATCGCAACATATCACACCTTTTCGGAATAAGCCAACAGCCAGCCCCGGTCGCCAGTCAACAACACCATCCGAATGTATCATTTCACAGTGGGAAACAGCAAATGGTGGGCGGAACCAACAATAACAATCGCGGCAACAGCACCATCTACATGAATGGGACACGCAACTACGCCCTGTATGAGACCGCTGCAAAAAATGCCAAAAATTCTGCCAAAATTGGCGGCTACTATGTGTACGCCAGACCCACACAGGATTCCTTCCCCTACGAACCCAATAAAGTGTACAATATGTTTTCGAAGGTAGCCGTGAGTAAACAGAATGGTCCATCGGAGTTGATATTGAACAATTCGTATGGACGGCCCAATCTAATGGGCAGTAAAGTCTATACGAATAACGATGGCTATTCGGCGCGATCGCATTCTAAAGATATGGAGTTTGCCACAACTAATTTCACAGATCGAACAGTAAATATGCCAAACAAACATTTAGAATCGGATGTGACCGAGAAAGGTGTCGATAATGGTGATGAATTGGATACAATATTGGGGTGAGACGAGATAAGATAATATCTAAGAGGTTATAGACACTTATTGGGCACAAACAAGCTATTTTGTAATGAATTTTTTAAAGGATATGTATCAAATTTTTTTAGAAGGTTCATTTTTATCTGAAAGAATAAAATTTGTCCGACTACTGAAGCAGTTAGGGGTACCAAATTTAAAATTGGAAAGACTTCCCCAAAAATCCGTCAAAAAAAAAAAAAAAAAAAATGATGTCTGTTATAATCCCTCAAAACAATATGATGATCGGACACAGAATTCTCGCGAATGCTCAAAACGGCAACAAGAATAACAACAAACGTCCGTGAACTCAATAGTTGTTGGGCATGTGTTTTGTTATTCCACACATGCACAGCACACATTCATTCGCTGCGTGTGTGTTTACTTTTTATATTTATACCCTACACAACTATGTTGTCAGGGTATTATAGCTCTGTGCAGACCCAAGAGTTTGTAACGCCGTACAGTATACAGTATTTTTCGGTTAATTGCACATCAAACAAATTGCACAAATTTTCGTTCAATTAACCGAGGAACCAATTATCAGAACCCGCTTAATTGAATAGTTTGTTCAATTACAGTAATCACGTATAATTGGAACTACTAATGATTTAAAAAAATCCAATGTCAAATACAAATTACGTCTTCTCGAAGTTTTTCCTTACTAATAAACATATGTTTTGAATTAGTAGAGATGCCACTTAGTATTTTTCACAAATGATGTCAAATATGTATGTAAAAAATGGCAGATTATTTTTCAATTATTATTATGCAATTAACCAGTGAAAAGTAAAAGGAAATTTATTTTTGATGACATGAATTTTGAACCAATTAAGCGGGAAAATCAATAAACAGGGTTTAATTATCCGAAAAAATTACATTTATTTTCCTATGAAATATTGTTTGCCTCATCATGTGGTTCAATTAAGCGTGGAAACCAATTAACCGTAGGGTCAATTAACCGAAAAATACTGTATTGGTCCTAGACCCACCTTTAAGTATACCGATCGTCATATCTCGACTAGCTGAATCGATCTAGACATGTGTGTGCGTCCGTCCGTCTGTTTATAATTTATAAACACGATACAGGCCACAGTTATGGACCAATCTTCACGAAATTTTGCATGTAGGATGGGTTCTGCCCAATGATCGGTAAAGATTTAGAGGTAAATATCGGTGAAGATTTAGAGGATGAAATGGACCAAATACTTAAATTTTGTTGGTTTTTCTGGTCGCTCCAGAGGCCGCAATTATGATCCAAGCATTTTTACATGGAGAAGGGGATTGGGCCCAAGAATAACCATGCCTGTTTTGATAAAGATCGGTCAATATTTAGCGGGTCAAATGGACCCCGACTTTTGTGTGAAAAATTACAAAATTTTTATTCTATAGGGAATATATTTACTCCTGTTGTGTTGTGTTGTGTGCTCTCATTCGTTTGTTATGTGTGTGCGAACATTCGTTTTTCGAAACTAAATACATATATATTGGAGATTGAAATTAGTTACTACAGATGGTATAGGGGATTAATCAAAACCCATAATAGAATGTAACAGCAAGTGCTGTTGTACAAAAAACGATACAAAAACCACATGTAAATTTGTTGTTGTAAGTTCTTCTAGTGTCAACTCATTTGACAGAAAAATTTAAACAAACAAACAAATTATCATCAAATTATTTTTATTTTGAAAATGAAATATTTTCGAATCCTCAAAATAAAAATTGAAAAACATGAATGAAAATCTATTAAATTTATATTTCTATCGCTTCCACATCTTTCCTATAATTGAGCCATTGCCATATAGGGGAGACTGGGGCACCTTCGGCAATTGCGTTTTCGATATGAAGCTCTCACCGTACATCACTAGTTTCGGTATATAGGTATCGAGTAGCGAAATAAATAACTGACACAAAGCTTGAAATTTCTAGCTAATAAACTTATTTAGATACATGGGTTTTTGTATTTTTATAGATGTTTCTGTAATATTTCAATTCCATTTTGTAAGTCGTCAGCTAAAATGCAAAAAGGCGTAACTAACAAAAAAAATTGATTTACAATAAACTACATGTGTTGACAAAGTTTTACACGTCTGCGGTCAGGAGGAGCTTCTATTAACAAGGAGCTTCTATTAACAAGAAACAAAAAGACGTAACTACAAGTGGATTTATTTGATAAATGCAAAAAGGCGTAACTAACAAAAAATTCACGTTTTTACTTAATTGTTATGACTGCCATTAAACTAAATAACTACATTTGTTAAAAAAATATAGTCTATTATTCGTCATATGCAATATCACCCTGCCGGGCACACTTTTTCATTTCACATGACATGTTTATAGTTTTCATTTAAAACAGTTTTTTGCTTCTCCTACACAATTATGTTTTTGTTAGTTACGCCTTTTTGCATTTTAGCTAACGAAGTATTTCGTGTATTTAAATTTTTAAGACAATATTATTAAAAAGTGGTTAACTACGATGTGTATTATTATAGAAATATTTAAAAATATAATGTTTTTACATAACTGATCGAAGAAAATGAAAAAAAACTATAAAAAGTACATTCGGGGTACATTCGGCATTTTAAAGTGGGGCACATTCGGCCATATACAGATTGTGCAATATTAATCCTTAAAATGTTTTGGAGTTTGTCTTTAAAACTATTCCTTTAATATGGTTCGAAATTGCATATATAACATCAAACGTGCTTGTATTGACGAAAATGCAATAGAAAACCCCTATTTCTGATGGTGTGTGCGACCTTGAGATGTAAACGTCCGCCGCTAGAAAATCAAGTCCTATAATTCAAACATTGTGTGACGTATTAATGCCAAATAGAGCCTTTAGAGGACCAGAATTTCAACCAGACTGATAGCGATGACAATTACACGGCTATGACTATGGTGCCGAATGTGCCCCATCAAATGCCGAAGCTACCCCGGGTTGGCGCACATTCAGCGAATTTGACTTTTTTTACAAAACTGTAAAATTTTTTAACTAATACTATTTTTTATATCTTTTTGGTATTATTTTCTATAATTAAGTGTAAGAGGACAATAATCAGCCATAAAGTTGTTATATATGTTGAATAAGTACTGAGATATAGAGCTCTAAAAAAAGTGCCCAGTTTCCCCTATATGTGTAACAAATATGAAAATGCTGGGAATAGCGAGTTATTCGTTGAAGAAAGATTTGCTTCCTCAAACTTTCATACATATTTTTGGAGATTGAAATTAGTTACCACTGTTGGTATAGGGGATTAATCAAAACCTTGGAACAAATATAGCAACAATTGACAAAGTTAACAAGGCCAGGAAAATTTTTTATATATGAAATAAAACATACGATTATAAAAATTGGGTTTTACAATACATAGGGAATCAGAAAAAAATAGAACACCATTTTGTGAAATGTTTGGCATTTATCTTTGCTATATTTCCTATATTCTGAGTATTCCAATTATGTATATAAATTTAAAAGGGTACCATTCGCGGGTTACCAGTTATAAATTTTCAAATCCAAGAAATCGCAACAGAAGTTCGTTGACTTTGGTTTACAATTTACTTCAATTTCCTAATGGGAAGATTTGATGCAGCGAATTGCTTTGCAATGAAAAATTGAAATTTTCAACGCTATTTTTAGCGTTTTGGTATGAGTTACCTCTACATATGACAATAACTCAATTGGAGTAAAATTTTGGAAGCGATAAAATTAGAAATTTGCAAGATTTTAATTCATGGTTTTCAATTTTATTCTGAAAATTCAAAAATAACATATTTTGAAAATAAATAAAAATTATTGATATTTTTTTGATATTTTAAAATATTTTTGTTTACATTTTTCGACATATCAAACTGACACTAGAGTTACATACAATAACAATTTGCTAAGTGGTTGTTGTTGAATTTTATTTGTTGTAGTTTTGCAGTAGCATGTCGTAAACTATTTCATTAAAGATTCAAATCGAACATGCATTCAGTAGACTATTATTGTCGACATTATTCTGAAGTAGGAAATTGTATTTACAGAAAGAAATTGAAAAGTTCTGCCAAAAAACAACGATCATCCAAGTCAAATATTTTGTTAGAGGATCTCTTTGGTCATTTGTCTATGGACTCGGATTTGAGTGATTCAAAGTTTGCGGAACAAAACATAACGGACCGGACGTCAGCTGCTCTGGCCGTTGGAAAGCACTCGAACGTTCTAAGCAGCATCGAAGCGAACGACGGCAGCCGGACAGAGTCATTTGCTACAAATCCGTAAGTATTGATAGTACCCATCAGCTATATAACTGTGTTGTTGTGTATTTAGCGATAATTCTAGATGTTATTTTGGCACTTGTTCCATTCAATCATTCATTGCATCATAATTCATTTCATAAAAAAAAACAAATCATCATCTATATGTGTGTGTATGTATTTCATGTTGGTGTGCCTGTGTCTGTGCCTGTTCGTCATTGTATTCATCCATCCCATTATCATCATGTCCAATGTGGTAAAGTGATCTCTCGCCATCAAGACAACCGAACGAAATGGGCACGTTCGATGAAGACGATTGTCAATTCTGGCCCATAAGGTATGGTAATTCAATTAATTGTTATAAACAAATATTGCTATAGGTATTTTATCTTATTTATAAATACTTGGTTGTTATTTACACATTGGGTTCCACATTAAAATCAACTAGTCTATATGAAATAGTTTCATTAGAAGTTGGATCTGACTGGAGCTAGAATTCACAAAATTTTGCATGTAAATTTTTTTTTGTTTAATACGTACTAAAAGATATTAAATATTATATAACGGGGGAAAATAGAATAGTGAAACTCGCAAATATTTTTCGGCTATAAATATTTAATATTGTATATATCTGCAATTTGGGTTTTATCTTTAACTACAACAATAACAAAGTTATACACTAATACTTTTTGGAAATTAAGAAAAAAATGCTGAACCACGGTGGAATGGGAAGCCTGATGTAGTTCTAAATAAGAATACTAATATGACAATTTTGAAAAAGCACAAAAAGGATTATTTATTGCAGCAGGCAGACATAAAAACTGAAATTGATTTCATAACAAGCAATCAAGTCATTAAGTTCGGATGGGCCGAATTTTTTATAACCTCTACCGTGCGGTTTGCATTCGAAACAACAATACACGACCTCTATATGCAATAACTTTCTATAAAATCGAATCAGTGCTGAGACTATTAATACATTTTGCATTGAGAGGTTTACCTTGAAATTGTGATTTTGTATTGACTTCTTACACTTGAAGTTTAAAATTAATTAGATTGCCTACATTAAAAAGTAGACGAATTATATGTAAATACTCTCAGATTTCCTAATATCATCTATTGGAATAAATGTTCATTTTCGAGCAGTTATCAACTCTTATTAGTATGGGGAAAAAGAATTCCATTATTTTTACGAGTATATGAACAATAGGTCTTTATTTAACATGCTTCGGAATGTCCGGTTTGGTCCAAATTCAGTTGTATGATTTGTTGCCATTTTAAAGGTATGCCTCTCTTATAGAATTCGTGCTCTCTATTTGCAAAAAAAAACAAAAAAAACTCTAGTAGTCGATTTTCACAATCCTCCCTAGATACCAATTTTTTATCATTAAAGAAATTTTGCAATGCAAGAAATGATAGTCGCTTGGTGCCAAATCTGGACTGTATGGCGGATGTATCAAAACTTGGCCTAGCGTTGTCCTGGTTCACCCCTCCTTTTGGCAAATTCTGGCCGTTTCTGGTCAATTGTAAATAGTTTGAAACAGTTTTATGGTCGATTTTTAACTACTGGGCGATGTTACGAATGCTAACATGCCAGTCAACTTCTATCATTTATCCGATTGTATGTTCTATGAAATCTAGTTTTGCAACAGAATTTTTTTAATTCCACTAGAGTGCTCCAAATTTCTATATACACAAGAGTAATGTAACAAAATCCCAGATGAAATCATAGAAAAAAAATTGGTGGAGAATTGTGGATAAAATATTAACAATCGCTTAATAATTTGATCTTTTTCTTCTACGTGGAAATGTGTTCAATTTCAGTGGTTTTTCATTTTAATTATAACTGGTTCGGCCCGGCTTTCTTATATTGGATATTCAGATTTGGCTAAAGGTGCGTTTTGTAAAGTTGGTATCTTTTTTAAAAATAAAGGGTGCGGAAGGGGTAACCACCAAGTGCCAAAATTCTTCTGTCGGACCCTCTAAAGTGGCCATTGAGACAATATCATTGTGTGGAAGGGAAGACATCGCCTGTCGTTAGACGTAAACTTAGAAAATATTTGGATAGTACACCCAAAAACGCAACATATCTTAGTCCTCGAATATAGAACAGGTTAATAGATGTAATTGGAGATTACATCCATCACTTTATATGACAATGCTCTCCGTTTGTGTGGACGCACAAGATGAAAGGAGTGGGGTTTAGATTTCTTTAAATATGTATTTTGAACTAAATTTGGCATAAATATGAAATGCGGATTTTTTTGTTCAAATCATGCACTTTCTTCGTTTTATATTAGATGCGTATAGGAACGTTTTTTATTTGAAATTTGCGATCTTAGAAAATACTTTAAATTTAAAAAAAAAAAATATTACTATTATTGGACCAAATCGGTTAGACGTGTGTTATGAAAAAGAGAGAAAATATAGTGTTGCCTATAAGCAGGATTCCCAGCTAAAATTCAGAAACAAAAATCTTTATTTGAAACGAAAATTTAATGTTCAATGATTATAATAGTTCATCCGTTTAGTCCAATATTTTTGGCATACTCGTTGTAACATTTCGGAAACTACATAATGGGAGTCATGCTCTTGCAGTTTGGACAAAAAGGTCATTCTTGAAGAAGTATGGTCCAATACGGGCTTTTGAATACGTTCCTCGATATGTCCTTATAAACGATTTCGACAGCAATTGTTTTCTGATATTGAAATCGCTTTTAATGCCCAATAACAGTAATATGCTCCCTCTTTTTGTATAATTTATTAAATATTTTTTTTTACACGCTTTGCAGGGTCAATGCACAATCGGACACAAAAAACAAAACATTTCCCTGGGATGAAACCAACAAAACGGAAGATGAAAAGCTTACGGCTTGGATGGTATCTGACAGCGCCAAACTAAAACACTCGAATAACGTTTAGGACTTGATATGCGTTCTGCCAAATAGCAGCTATCCTGAGGCCACAATGTAGCTGTGTACACTTCTCATGTACAGAATGAAGCATGGACATCATCTTGGTACCTGACAGTTTGAACCCCCCCCAATATAAAGTCACACGGCATTAGCAATGTCAAATAGCTCAACGACACACGATTAACGAGGTCCTGACATAATGAACCGAGCGGAATTCAATGTGGCGGACCTTCGATACTAGTAAAATAAGTATTGCTGTGATAAATTTAAGTTAGAACATATGAAACCATTTATGATGTATGTATGTGTGTGTGTACATTTATTGTAAGACAGACGCTGGACAAGGAGAAGACAATGATATGTAGGAGAGAGAGCGTAAATAAAAAAACGCAAACATTATTTATGAGTGTAGTTAGTATATAGAGATGTAAATAAAGATTTTATTGTTAAAGTTCGAAAATACGAAATTATTTTGATTATCTATGGGTGTTGTGATAGAGTTGCAATCGTGTGAGTGTGTGTTCAGCTAGTTTAGCGGCGATGGGCAGGTGCTGGCCACTCCTCGACCACGGGAGCAGCAGCATGTACACCGACCAATTCCCGGCGAACTTGAGCCGAGAATCCCAACAATGGATCGGAGCTATAATCCACAATACGACGTTGGCCATCGGGCTCGACAAGCGAATAACGACCAGTAACGTATTCTCCTCGGCGATGTTCGAACTGATCCTTTATGTCGCCAGTGTGGGCATCGTGCACAGCATATTGGAATTCGTAATGAGGAGGGCTGTCGGCATTTATTTCAATCGTAGGATGACCGATAAGGCCAGCATTGACAACAACCAAGCACACAGCCAACACAAATGAAATGCACTGAAATGAAAAGAAAAATAAGGATATGATTAAGTTGAGAGAGGGAGAACTTCTATCCATTAGGGAGTTTCCATTTGGCTTACAATCAGTTTCATTGTTACGCTTTAGAGGAGACAGAAGCTGGTGAGCTGATGATCGTTGCTAGTGAAACGAATGCAAGAAGTAGAATGTCATTTGGTGGCAGATGGATGGGCTTATATACCCTGCATCTAATCGAAGCCAGCCATCAAGCCAGTTAGCCAGCCAGCCAACGTTAAAGATGTGCGTCAGTTCATTCATCTCGTTCGGTGTGGCCAAATTATGCAATTGCCATAATTTTAACTGACTTCAAAGAGGAAATGATATCCAATATCGAATGATGTATTTCGGTTACAAATTGTGTTTTCCATGTCTCAGACATAGGCGACGTTGGATCGTCTAGCTGGCAGCACACAGCTCCGCGAATTCAAATGTGTGTGGAGAGTACGTTACACATTATGATGCCACAGCGGCCCTTCACACGGTAGGCTACATTGCAACAGTTGTCTAGTGACTCACATTTGTACACCGACAGACCCTACTCGAATTTCCAAGAGGACACGGTGTGCTGTGGCATTTTTCCATTGACACATTGGCGAAGATAATCGGCATACAACTGACGGTGGAAAAGTGTATAATTCACACATACACAGGCATGTACGTAGTGCATGTAGGAACATAATGCCGTGTAAATGTAATCCTTATTGGAACCAAAGTTTGCAACTTGTAGCCAATGAAAATACATATGTATATGTATGTGTATAGATTTGTGCCTTTGTACGGCCGTTGGACTAAGGTCATGGCGTAACCGCAACATATATAAATATGCTAAACTTTGCACACTTAGAGCAATTTTCAAATTCGGTCCATGATAAATATGAATGAGTAAGTTAACACTAATATCAAACTGCATTAAAAAACAACTCCTGTAAATCATGAAAAAATTTACGCCTTTCGTTTACGATAGATAGAAATTTGTCCATTATATTTTCTTGCGATTCTTGAACTGCAAGAAAATACAATCTTTGTAAAGTCCGTAGAAGTATGGACTATTAAATCTGTTTATTTGAAACGAAAATAATCATTCGAAATATGGATATACATATAGAAGAATTCCCAAAATACCATGGACAACTCATATATCTAATAACAAAGTTCTGGGAAGAATGAACAAGGACCGAGAACTCTTTATCCACATAAAACAAAGAAAAAACATCGTATCTCGGTCATATAAAGAGAAATTCTAAATATCACATACTCCGCGCGCAAGAGGGGAAGCGAGATGACTACAAATCATTCGATCTTTGATGTACTATGTACTAATTACTTAGTAGCGGACAAATTTCTATTTTTGGTTTTCTGAAGGAAATCTTTGAAAAACAAAACCGAAATAAGGAAACATTAAGCATTTGTTGCATGTACAAATAATGGGCAAACCTCCATCCAGTTATCAGACGAGGGGGAGGCGTCCTTATTCTTAAAATGGAAAACCTAATTCTTCATATGGAAAAGATTCAAATGATGCAGTTCCAGAAATTCAATAAAACCGTACAAAGAAATATAAAGAAACAAATTCTGATGCAATTCCAATGTATCTGAATTTTGCTGTGATTGGGACCAGTAGACCATTCCCATCATGGTGAAAGTGATTCATATAAGCATTTCAATTCACGCCGAAATGAAGCAAGTGAAAAGAAGAATTTCTTCTTATTCATTTACTCCCATAGAGTTTAAACGGCAAAGTGTGATTTGTAGACACTTTACTAAAAGACTGATGTCGTTGATATTAAGTCGGAAATAGATTTTTTAGTTCCAGATACTGTTGAATCGGTTAAAGTTCTCTGCAGATTTTTCAAAAAAACAAAAAAAAGGAATATATGCATTCAACGGTAAATTTTAATGTAAGGATCATCTTTTCCCAACCTAAAAGTTAAAGTTCGAATCCAGGGACCGTAACGGTTATAGGTAATATCAAATCAGTTATAAAATAACAGCTATTTGTGGCCTAAATAAAAAAATCTATTTTTTATTTTTATTATTATTTATTTTTAACGAAAAAAATAATAAAAATCATATCAGGAGTTTTAGAAAAAATAAAATAATTTGTTGGATCGCATATTCAGATTTAACAACAGGTGTTTTTTGTAAAGTCTGCATCTTATTTTAGAAGTGTGCGGAAAGAATGAAAGATATTTCAAAACGTATAGAACTAATTATGGTCAAAGATGCTTCCGATATATTGAAGGAAAGAAGTAGCAGCAGAAGCAGATTTTAGATTTTTAGACAAGTCAAAGAATGTTTCTTTTGCTACGGAAAGGATTACAAGGAAAAATAATTATCGACCGTCGTGATGGCGCGCCTATAATGTCAGGCAATGATAATGGAGTGCATGCCATTTTGAAATCAAAATTCCCCCTCGCATTTAAATAAATAGGTATGTTTAAAAGAATATATAACTATTTATATCATTATTTAAATGCATTGTTTTACTCTTAGGATGGGGCAAATAAATGGCAATTGGTGAAATATTGTAAGTAATATCTGAAAAGTGTTTCATATTCCAATGCATTTTAATTATGTCGATTCTTTACAGATGATGTTAAAATGGAGATAATCATTACGCCAAGTTTTCAGGCAATGTGCTAATTTATATTATATCACAGTGACACATTTTTCAACTTTAAAATCTTGAACTAATCGAGACCCCCAAAATCTTGAAGCTTGTGTTGGTGGAAGAAAATCCCTAGCTGGGTTTTGCATTATTAGCTAAAATTTTTTATTTACATTAATTTTTAAAATATTCTACAAGGCACACAATTTTCGAATAATACGTACTTATTATTGAGTCTATATCTCGTGAAATATTCGAAATATTGCTTTTCTCTCTTAAGCAATATTTTTCCTCTTAATTAGATCTAAAAATTTTCTCTTGAGATAAAATCAATAAAACAACACCATCATACTGAAAATAGCACAACTGCAAAAAAATTAAAATTTGACATACTTTTTCGATGCTTTTTCACACTTATTTCAAAAACTGCTACTGACTCGACCAAACAATATATGACAAGAAGATAGCCAATAGCAAATCAAACAACTCTTCTTAAACCCCCGATTTCATTGGCTGACTCCTTCACATAGTTATAGCCTCACAAATTCATCAAAATGAACCAAAGAAATTCACTCCCAATTGTATGTTTATAGAAATAAAAATTGCTATGTTTTTTTTTCAATAAATAGCATGGTACAATTATAAAAGGTAACAGCAAAAACTCAGCTGATTTGATTCCATCGTAATACTAGTGTCAATATGAATATGACAAATTATGTTTTTAAAAATCACCCAAAAGGAAAATTGGGAACGGATACAATTCGAAATTGTTCTTTATTAAATGTCCTCCCGTATTCAATTTACTCAATCTGCTGCTGGGAAAGTTTGAGGAAGCAAATCTTTCTTCATGGAATAACTCGCGAATTCCCAGCATTTTCATATAGGTTACACATATAAGTGGCAATGGCTAAATTATAGGAAAGATGTGGAAGCGATAGAAATATAAACTTGATAGATTTTCATTCATGTTTTTCAATTTTATCTTGAGGATTCGAAAATACAACATTTTCAAAATAAATAAAATTTGTTGATAAATTATTTGTTTGTTTACATTTTTCTGTTAAATGAAGTTGACACTAGTAATACTTACAACAACAAATTTCCATGTGGTTGTTGTATCGTTTGTTGTACAACAACACTTGCTGTTACCTTCTATTAATATACCATGAATAAATAGGTACAAAATTGTAGTAAAAATTAAAGTGTTTGGGCGCTTTGGTTTTTCTTCGAAGACATGTCGCAGCGATATATGCACAGGGTAAAAACAACAAACTGGGATTCAGCCTGACTATTTTGCAAAAACAAAATACAAATGGTATCCCAAATAAACCGCCAATACTACTAAATGAAAAATATGTATATATATTTTTATTTGAATTTTAAATGGGGTATGATTGACGACAAGATTGATGACAATAGGTCATACAGTCATCAACGAAGTTGTAAACGACAGGAAGTGAATCTGTCGTTAACGAAAAGTAGGACGAAGTTGTCGTCAACGACAACTTCGCTTACCCTGTCGCCCAAGTTGTCGTGCATGAATACTGCGACACTTGTATGAAAATTTCGTCAACGATTTCACATTGTTGTCTTGTTCGTACGTTCGTCTGGAAGTAATTTTATTATATATAATTATTGTACAATGGTTTATCGTATCTCAACACTTATACAAATACTAATTATTTTCAAATTTAATAATAACATATGAAATTGTACTTCTCTTTTAAGGTTGCTGTGATGTGTGACTTGAGCACACCCCACACTTGTCTCAGTATCTTCAGACTTTTAATCTGGACATGGTCAAAGCATATGATCATATACATTTAGTAGTTGATAACTTAAATGCTATACGACAAAAAAGTGGCGAGAAGTTCCACACAGTAAACAATTTTAGTTTAATTTCACAAATCCAAAGAAGTATTAATTCTATTGCGTTATGGAGTACTTTTAAGGAGATTGAAAGAGAGAGACTGAGATAGAGAGAGTTGCTTATTATTTTTAGAGCATTAAAATGACACCAATATGTATTACGGCTTAAACCTTTTTGGTGTTAAAATAAAACCAAAATATTTACATTGAATACCTAACTAGGAATTAATTTAATGCCCTGTGGAATAAGTTATACACCAAACTAAGTGTTATTTTTGTTCTTAATAAGAATTTGATTAATACTATTTAGAATGTTTTATATTCTCGGATTGGTATTATTTCAATACCCAACCAAATGAATTGTATGCTAAAAGGGTGTTGCTTTTAATATTGGCAGGTGTAAAACTAACAGCATTTCTATAAAATATATAAAATATTTAATATATATTTTATTTATAGTATATATACTATTACTATTATATTATTATATTACTATTTATATTATATATACTAATAAAAGAGTAAAGTGATTGACTGACTGACTGATTTAACGATTCATCAACGTAGAAGCTAGATTTCAGTAGAGCTAGAAATCTGAAATTTGGATTGAGGGTCACTGATGGAGTGTAGAATAGATGTAAATTCGAACTATAAGTA